AAAGGCATAACCCATTTTTACAGGATTTCTCAATCAAAGAGCAATAGATATCTTATGATTACATTTACACCAAAATCTTCCAACGGGATAATCATCCGATTTTTTAACTTGAGAGCCGCCACACCTCCCTATCATATCTATCTTTTGAATTGATATACTAAATGACTTCTTCTGGTGGACAGACATGCAGTTCTCACGTGATATGCAATCTTATATACAGTATATTAAGTGTATTAGGTCTACTAGCACTAGTGAAGTCCTCAAATTGACCCCTACTATCACTTCACACTTCATTTCAATTTTGCAAACTTCAAGTCAAAGTACTTAGCATCCGGACTCTAAACCATCTGTTAATGTGATTAATAAATTGATAGCAATTTCGCAATTATATTAATTTTTCGCAATATATGACTAACCCTTTCATTAATTATGAAAAATCTCATAAAATTGCATAATAATTTAGTGTTAATTAAAATATTGATTATATTGTACTTTTAGGACTTTATGGTCATTTTGATTATCTTGTTTGAAAAATTGGTAACAAGTTCTAATAAGTCTTAAAATCTATTCTGGCACTAAAATAAATGATCATTTCAAAATTTTAAATTCTATTACTAAAACTTCTAAAAACTTTAAAAAATTATCTTATTAAAATATACACAATTAAATAAACTAGTTAAAAATGTAAAAATTCAATCACAATGTAAATATTTATACGCCAAACATATTTATTTGTGTGATTATTACGACTATAATAAAAAAATGTTATACTGTACTGTATTTGATTTGATATAATTTGATTGTATAGGAAATGGATTGTCTTGATGTCAACAAAAGAATTACAAACAATTGGTTTGACTTTAAAACAAATCTTAATAACTGATGCGAGTAATGAAACTACGGATAGGAATATAACCGTAAATATTCATTATTGCTATTCAATTATTTGATGAATTAGTGTTGGATAAACGCCACGTATATACTCATCACGTTTATCTCATAAATATAAATTGTAATTTTAATGATTTCAAGCAAGGTGTTTTAGAAATTACTTTGAGTTCAATGTCAACATCTAAATAAGTCTTCTGGAGTTCAAATATCTAAGATTTGAAACCAAACTCAACATTCAATATCTCATAAATACATGCAATAAATGCAACATTTTTAAAAACAGATTATAAAAATACAATTTATTGATTGCATATAAAATCACAACAAGTGATCACTTGAACTGATCCAAGAATGCATTACAAGAGCGTAAACACTGTTCATAGTTGGTCTCAAAGCCCTGGTCTCCCCTCTGATAATAAGGGTCTTCAATGATGGTGTGCTTCTGGGGGTCGTATTTGCCCAACAACTCGACCACAGCTTTGCTTCCTCTGGGCTTCATATCATTGATGTCTTCAATGTTGTTGTCATCCATACCGAAGATGTAGTCAAAGCGATGGAAGTCCTCTTCGCGCAACTGTCGGGCCCTATGATTGGTGTCGATTCCGTGTCCTTTCAACACTTTGAGGGCTCGTGAGTCGGGTCGTGAGCCTGTGTGGTAACCAGCTGGGATCAAGTATCCAACACATCATATCATTGACTAATTAGTGG